GCTAACAGTTTTGGCTCTATACACCACCACAATGGATATCAAATGAAACAAACAAGATGTGCTTTAACTACAGACTGTCAGCTTTTATTTGAGGTATTTACATCCAAATCAGGTGAACGGTGTAGGAATGACAACAGTTTGCTCTAGCGATAAATATAGATTGTCTATATTGCAAATGTGGCGTAGATTTAGCTTGTTTATAATACATTAATTAATCGGGGCACCACCAGTTCTCAGAACTGGACCGTTGGATTTAATATCTATATCTTCGCAATGTAATCAGTCTCAGAGTTAACACCACAAATTAATCCAAAGGATGAATTCTTGACAGAATGCTCCGATTATTCCCAAGAATTGCTAGACAAAGACCAGTCGTTATTTACATTTTGTGAATTTATTACAACATCAGTTAATACATTGACAAAAGGACCAAACACAGCTTATAGTTTCATGCATGGAATTAAGAAAATTGTTAGCCCAAAACTTTATGGCAGTGACAGGAAATAACTGATCCGTAATAAAAGTGGAAATTCGGTGACACCAGGATTATAGAAAAATGGGGGATAATTTCTAAAAGGAAAACCAAGTGTGTGTGTGTGTGTGTGTGTGCACTTGTTTAATTTGCTGTTATTATAAATGGCTAATCAAATCACCTGGCAGCACCTCAGTGCGTTTAGACATGTAGACAACCTTCAGACATTAAAACTGAGGAGCAGAATGAGGAAGAAAGGAGATGTGAGTGACTTTGAGTGTTGCATGGGTACCAGATGGTCTGATCTAAGTATACCAGAAACTGCTGATGACCAAGAATGATTAACCACAATCATCTCTCAGGTTTGAATCAAATAATTTGGAAAAGATAAATTATCCAGTGAGCAGCATTAGTTGACACCAGAGGTTAGAGGAGAATGGGCAGATGATGAAAAGGTACCAGTAGCTCAGGTTTTGCAGAATAGCATCTCTTAACCACAGCATGCTGAACCTTCAAACAGAAGGACTCCAGCAGAAGAACACTGGAACCCTCTTCTGTCAGCCAAGAACAAAACAACTGAAGCTGCAATCAACAGGATCACCGGAACTGGACCATGATCCCTACGTCACACTGGGAGCATCAATGACACGGAACAGCAGTGGAATGTCTCTGCTTCAAATTACAATCAATTATAGTCTATGGGTCTGATTCAAACCGAGCTGCGCCACTAAAGATAGGTTTGGGTTCTATTTGGTCCCGAGCTGTTGGATGAGGGTGGAACTGGAATTTATTTCATTTCCGCATTTGCTTCAATTTTTGACCCGCATTGTGGGGGCTTGGTGTGTACTGGCACGCAGCAAAAATTAATAGTAAACGGTTCTGCTGCCGTTCTGCACCCCTGATGTGTGAAGTAGAGGTAAGAGACTGGAAAATGTTCCCTGGTCTAACAACTAGATTTCAGCTGCAACATTCAGATGGTTGGGTCAGAATTTGGTGTCAGCAACATGAAAGCGGAGATTCATCCTACCTTGTGTTAACGGCTCAGGCTTCTGGTGGTGAAATGTTGTGGGGAAGATGTTCTTAGCCCACTTTAAAACCAAATGATCATCATTTAAACACCTGAGTATTGTTGTTGACCATGTCTTTGTGATCAGGTGGACCCATCTTCTGATGACATGCTTACATCAGACCAGTTCTTCCTCTTATGCCAGACAAGTCCATGGGGAGTGGTGAAGTGGGAGATTAACATCACAGTTGTGACACTTTCAGGATAAATATGGACTAAACTCTGAAGAAAGTTTGCAGCACTTTGTTGAATCTATACCAAAAAAATTTTAGGGCACTTTTGAAAGTGACCTTGAAGGGGACATATAGAAACTCACATTTTGCATTCTTTTGTGCTACCATGGGGGTCTCTATGTCCTCTATAAAAACTCCAAACGTGGAAAAAAAATTTGTTTCCATTTTCTGTCAGTCGCTTTAGGAATTATGTGCCTAAAACAAGCAGTTTCAAAAGGTCCTCATTTGTGATGTCACAAAGGGGAAAGTTAGCATTAAACAACCCCTCTCACTTACAAGAGAGAGCTGCTGCTGGAGGAGCGAGATGCCCCTCAAGCCCTTCCCAGATATCCAGGCTTCTCAGATTAAGGCAGCCTGATTGAGGGACGGTTGGGCGTGGCCAGATCCAGCTTATTTTCTTAAAGTGACAGAACCCCGACTCGTTATGGAAGGTGTTGAAATTCTCAAGAATAAAACTGCTGAAATTTCTTTATGTTGGAGGGATTTAGTGCAAAGAACCACATGAACATGCTTGGTATTGACCAGAAAGACAAAAAGTCCCCTTTAACAAAAAACGTCCAGAGTGCATCTGAAAAATAACATCAATTGCACACGTTTGTTTAACGCAATATGTTCAAATACTTTTTAAAGTTTTATTTATGTTCAGTTTTTACTAAATGAGAAAGAAACAAGAAGGCCAACAACAATGAAATGTAATTAACATAAAGGAGCTAAAAACAGAATCATGGGAAAAGGAGTAACATTTTCTAAAGATGGCAGGCAGGTAAATTAATCTGCTAGATTACATGTATTTTATTACACCCCAGCACAGATTTTCAACTGCAGATTACAGAACCTCAATTATTTTCTGTTACCGCTTCATTTCACACAAAAGGCTCTATCGCTTTAGGGGCAGAGACCAGCAAAACAGCTCCCACATATATTCCCCTGTGCACACACACTAAGTGATTCTACATTACTGACCCTCAAGGCTACATGTGCACATTGTTGGGAGGAGATGCTTTATACAATGACCATGTTTTTTTGAAATGTGGCACCATGTCATAAACAACAGGGGTGATTTTACAACAAAGCAGCCCACTGGCCAAATTGCTCGCAATGCAAATGCATGATTTTCCCCTATGTTAATATGAGCTATCTCAATGTGCAGGAAGCTGCTAACGACCACAATTCAAGTCACTCTGCCAGGTTTCATCTAGTTGTGCAAGAAACACAAGAGGAGTTCTACTGAGAGACATGTCTGTTAAAAAAAGGACATTTGAAACACCATAATCACTGCTAAACTACTAAATGACAGAGCAGTGTTTACTGGCAGGTATGCTGGGTTGCCAGTAATGTGCATCTGTCAGCACCGCTGAGCCATATCAGGATTCAACAAAACCACCACTGCGCTCTCCATCCAACAATGCCAACTACCTCAGAAAATAGCCAACTCTGTCTGTCAGTCTGTCTTTCTTTGTCTCCGGCTCTCACACACACATGCTCAATACACACATGCTGCTACAAAATCATACTTTTTTTTTTTTACAAAAAAGGGTCGGATGAACCAGTCCCGAATCTATTCACTGCTGTCCAACAACATGAAAAGAAGTGAGCTGGTAAGAAAAATATTTTTTTCTCCCCCTTCATAACGCTTCTTGCTCATCTTGACTCTCCCAGCAGCTGCCTACCTCTCATTAAATGAGCACAAAGAATCTTTACAGTTACAGTTTGATAGACTGGAGCTTCAATTAATAAAATATCCATGGCATCAGTAGGTTGAACAGTTTCTCATTTTCTTTTTTTTTTTTTTAAGAAGAAATATTCTGTTCCTACACCTCAGTGCTGCAGTGCACAGTGTGGCAGTTTTATGATTAATCTAAAGGCTTCCAATCCATTCTTGGTTTTGTAAAGTCAACTTGATATGTATTTGGCAGATTCTTAAGAACAGCACTGGAAATGGATTTCAGGTGCCTGAAAATTACACAGAGGAGGACAAAAGTATTTTTACCTACCATATTGGCAATTGAAAAACACTCAGCCCCTTGTTTTGCGCACCGTGCATGCAAGCACAGTCCACACATGTAGTGTAAAGACTCTTTGCATGAATAATCTCATCTTTTAATTTCATTATCATCGTAGCGTTGAAATAAAAACACATGCATCTTAAAAGTGGTAAAAAAAAAGCTGTCAGATATTGTTGAATTAAAGAAGCCATCCAGACATTTAGAAGATTTTTGTTAACAATTAATGCCTTACCTCTTGTAGATTGCTCTTTTAATGGCTTAATTTAGGAAAAATGGGGTTTACTTTAGCCTGAACTGTGATTCTTATAATGTTGTTGCCACTGTATCATTTCTTTTATACATGTTCTTATTGTACAGCACTTTCGTACACATTTTTATTAGTGCTTTATGAATAAATTGGATTTAGATTTGAATTGATGAGCTAACAGACAGTCTGAACATGGCTAAAACTAATAAATTATTGCCATTTTTAAACAACTTCCTACAAACAAATGTGGTCATACCACAAACTTGCCCCTCCTATTTGTTCAATAAAAGCAGAATTTAATCTATGTAACTATTTAAAGGTTGAAGATGGAACATACACACCATAGGAACATCTAGTGTGTGGAGGTTGGAGTTGCAACAATAGAAAAAGGTTTCCAGTCGTTTGGAGTCCAGGTTCGTTGACCAGCCAGCACCATGTCCAGTGACTAATCATACATGGTAAGGGTTCATTTCTACTAACAAGTTTATTTTACAACAGTATTTAATGTTGAAACATCTTCTGGGCTCAGAAGAAGCTGCTTGACTCTTCAAGTCCGCCATTTTCCACAGCGCCAGCCACGCCTTGCTGGGTCGACTGTTTGGCAACCTGCAGCAGTGCCTTCTATTGGCTGGTAGATCAATGTTGTGATTGTCAAAATAAATATTACATTTTTAAAAGTTAAAATATAGCTTTTAAAGGAAATTATGTATCTTCATTCTGCATACCTCTAATCAGCCCGTGGAGGTTTTATTTAAATTGTTCCATATTCGACCTTTTTTGCAACATTTAAAGCAACAATAGCACATCTGGAAAAAGGATTAGCTTAAAGTGACAGCGTGTATTTTTCCAGGAGATGGGGGTAGTAGATACCTAAATCGTCACAAGCAAGCAGTATTTTTGTGTCGGAATAAGACTTTACTAAGTGTAGCGTACCAAAAGGCCAAGAATTCCATCAAAAATGACCAGAAGTTAACTTTTAACTTGCAGGCACAAACTGCGTCACATATCCTGGGCCACATCTTATCTGTCTGGTCTCCAGACCAGAAAGGTACTGCTCAATGACCTTGTTACCGAATAAGGGAGCTTTAACAATGTCAGGCTGATCAGACTGGATGAAGGAGACGAACAAGGTGAGACGTTTAACAGTTTTATTATCACTCTGGTCGTATCTCTCTGAAGAAGAAACGATGACTGAGATGAGAAGCCGGTCACGGCGTCTTCCATATATAGCCTTGCTTGGCTGTGACGTGGAGGGAATCCCCGCGAGGAGCACGCTGGGAGCTCCCCACGAGGGGCATGTTGGGAGTTGTGGTCCGAAGGTCAGCCGGGAGATACCCGAGTCCTGACAGGACCCCCCGGTCCAGGGACGGCTCCAGAAGTCCCAGCGCGACCCCGGCGGACCCAGAAGTCAGAGATCAGGGAAGGGTCCAGGATGGACCGAGCCGGCTCCCAGGAGCGTTCCTCGGGGCCATAGTCCTTCCAGTCCACCAGGTACTGCCAGCCCCGACCCCTGCGGCGAGCGTCCAGGATGCGCCGGACGGTGTAGATAGGCTCACCGTTGAGGAAGCGGGCAGGAGGCGGCGCCGGAGCCGGAGGCGGGAGAAGGGAGGACTCCACGTAGGGCTTGAGCCGGAAGGTATGGAAGGTGGGATGGATGCGGAGAGTAGCCGGCAGCCGCAACCGGTACGTGACCAGGTTGATGACCCTTTGGATGGGGTATGGGCCGAGGAACCGAGGGGCGAGTTTCTTGGACCCGGCACGGACCCGAAGGTCAGCCGTGGACACCCAGACCTTGTCCCCAGGAGCATAGGAGGGACCAGGACGGTGTCGACGGAGATGCTGGTGAGCATAGCTGGTGTTAGCTCTGGGTATGGAGGCTCGTGCTTTGATCCAGGCGCTCTTGCAGCGTCTCACCATGGCTTCCGCTGCCGGAACGGCGACCTCGGGTTCTTGGTGGGCAAGGACCGGGGGCTGGAAGCCATAGCAGACCTCGAAAGGGGACAGCCGAGTGGCAGATGAGGTGTGAAGATTGTGGGACAGTTCCGCCCAGAGGAGGTATTTAGGCCACTGCGAGGGTTGAGCCGAGACAAAACAACGAAGGTACCGACCCAGCTGTTGGTTAGCCCGCTCCGTCTGGCCATTGGTCTGCGGGTGGTAGCCTGAAGATAGACTGACCGATGCTCCCATCAGCCGACAGAAAGCTTTCCAGAACCGGGCCGTGAACTGGGGCTCCCGATCCGAGACCACGTCGACTGGGAACCCGTGGAGGTGCACCACGTTCTCCAGGAACAGTTCCGCTGTGCGTTGGGCTGAGGGGAGACCCGGAAGGGCGATGAAATGGACAGACTTGGAAAAGCGGTCCGTAACCGTCATGACAGTGTTGAGGTTATTGACCGGCGGGAGACCCGTGACGAAGTCCAGCCCCACGTGGGACCAGGGGCGGCTGGGCACCGGAAGAGGTCGGAGGGCACCAGCCGAGGCCTGGTTGGGGTTCTTGGAGCGGGCACAGACGTCACAGGCGCTGGTGTATTCTTTCACATCCCTCGCCATGCCTGGCCACCAGAGGGCTCGCTGGAGGAATTTAAGAGTTCTGGAGAAACCAGCGTGGCCAGACAGGCGTGATGAGTGGGCCCAGGACAACGCCTCGCTGCGACAGGCCGTGGGGACATAGAGGCGACCCGCGGGGGTCTCTGGAGGCGCGGGGTCGTCCCGGAGGGCGTTCTGGATAGCTTCCTCCAACGGCCACCTCAGTTGGCCCAGGAAGCGGTGTTCCGGGAGGATTGGCGCTGGCTCGGACAAGGGCGTGGAGTGGGTGAATTGGCGGGAGAGGGCGTCCGCCTTCTGGTTCTTGGCTCCCGGGCGGTAGACGAGATGGAAGTCGTAGGGTTCAAAGAAGAGGGCCCAGCGAGCCTGGCGAGGGTTAAGCTGCTTGGCAGATTTAATGTGGGTCAGGTTATGATGGTCAGTCCAGATCGTGAAAGGCCGAGTGGTGCCCAGAAGCCACTGCCTCCATTCTTCCAATGCCCATTTTATGGCCAGTAACTCACGGTCGCCCACACCGTACTTCTGCTGGGTGGTGGAAAACTTCCTGGAGAAGTAGGCGCAGGGATGGAGCCTGTCGTTGGGCCCGACTTGAGACAGGATGGCGCCGGCGCCGACGTCAGAGGCGTCGACCTCGACCACAAAGGGAACTGCAGGATCTGGATGGCGGAGGATCGGGGCCGAGGTAAAGCGGGTGACCAGGTGGCGGAAGGCCCGAATGGCGTCGGGAGTTAGACGAAACAGCTGGCCAGGGGAGCCTGGTCGAGTGAGAGAGGTGAGAGGGGCTACGAGGGTGCTATAGTTCTTTATAAAACGGCGGTAAAAGTTGCAGAAACCCAGAAAACTCTGCAGTTGTTTCAGGCTGGTTGGCAAGGGCCAGTCCTTCACCGCCTGGATTTTCTGAGGGTCCATGGTTATCCCTTCGTCCGAGATCCTGTAACCCAGGAAGGATATGGACTGCTGATGGAAGGAGCATTTCTCGGGTTTACAGTACAGGTTGTGGTCCAGGAGTCGGGTCAGGACGGCGCGAACATGATGGATGTGTTCGGCCTTGGATTTGGAGTAGATCAGTATATCGTCCAGATAGGCGAACACCCACCGTCCCAGCATGTCGCGGAGGACATCATTAATGAGACGTTGGAAGACAGCAGGGCTATTGCATAGTCCGAAGGGCATAACCAGGTACTCCCAGTGGCCCGTGGGTGTTATGAACGCGGTCTTCCACTCATCCCCGGCCTTTATACGGACCAGATTGTAGGCGCTCCGGAGATCCAGTTTCGTAAAGATCCGTGCCTGGGAGATGGCATCCAGAGCGGTAGTGAGGAGCGGCAGAGGATGGCGGTCCTTGACCGTGATCTTGTTCAGACCCCGATAGTCTATGCAGGGGCGAAGATCGCCTTCCTTTTTCTTCACGAAGAAGAAGCCAGCGGCACCCGGAGAGGAGGAGGGTCGGATGAACCCCTGCTGGAGGGCCTGGGCGATGTATTCTTCCATCGCTTTGGTCTCGGGAGGCGCGAGAGAGAAAAGGCGCCCGCGGGGAGGACTGGTTCCGGGTAACAGCTTGATCTCCATATCATATGGCCGGTGAGGTGGCAGGGAGGTGGCGCGCCGCTTGTCGAACACCGCGGCCAGGTCCCGATAGGGCAGCGGCAGGTGGGGCGGTGTGGAGCCGGGGCCCCCGTCCGGAAGACCCGCCGAGGATGGAGGAGGAACTAGGTGGGTCTGGCACGAGGTCCCCCAGCCCAGCAGGCGGTTCTGGGACCAGGAAATATGAGGGTCGTGGAGACGGAGCCAGGGGAACCCCAGGATTAGAGGAGAGGAGGGAGCAGAAATGACCAGGAAATGGAGGGTCTCCTGGTGGCCTTGGGTGATCATACGGAGTGACTGGGTTCGGTCTCGGACTGGGTAGGGTTGGAGAGGCCTACCGTCCACCGAGGTCACTGGTATAACTCTCTCCAGGGGTCGTAGGGGGATCCGTAGGCGTTTTGCCAGATCTAGGTCCATGAAATTGTCCGCGGCCCCCGAGTCCACCAATGCGTTTACGTGGAGTGAGGCCTCACCATGGAGGAGGGTGACAGGAATAAGGAGACGGTTAGTAGCGACAGGGGTAGAAGAAGACCCAGACTGAGCGACCCCAATACTCAGTGGGGCCCCCCGTTTCCCGATCGTAGCGGGCAGTCCAGGCGTCGGTGGTCGGGAGAGCCACAGTAGGCACAGAGGCCCTCGCGCCACCGTCGTTGTCTCTCCTCGGGGGGAAGGTGGCCGAGCTGCATGGGCTCCTCCACCAGCATGGGTACAGGAGCTGGCGTGGGTGAACGAGGGCGAGGCACCGGCGTCCTGGGTGGACGCGTGGATAACTTGGGTCGAACCAGAACCCGTTGGTCGATGCGCAGCGCCAGATCAACCACCTCATCCAGGGTCTGAGGCAGCTCCCTTCCCGCCAACTCATCACGGATGTAGGGTGCCAGCCCCTCCAGGAAGGCGGCCCGCAGAGCGCAGTCATTCCACTGCAGCTTGGCGGAGATGGTGCGAAACTCCGACGCATAAGCGCACACCGAGCGTTCTCGCTGGCGGAGTTTGAGAAGGCGTGTCTCTGCTCCCACTTCGCTGCTGGGGGAACAAAGGTCTTCCGGAGAGCGGACACAAACGCAGCATAGTCGTTGCAGGCAGGGGATTTGGAATTGTAAAGCGCAGCAGCCCACTCCGCGGCGCGTCCGGAGAGCAGGGAGGTGAGATGCGCCACTCGGGAGCGCGCAGATGGGTAGCGTCCAGGTTGGCACTCGAACTGCATGTCCAGCGTGGCGAGCAGACCATCGGGGCTCCCCGTCTCCCCGTTCCACCTCTCCGGCAGGCTGAAGTGGGGCTCCTCCCTAGGAGCAGAGCGGGTTGGCTGCTGGAGTGCAGCGATCTGTTGCTGCTGATCGTTTGCCTGTTGTTGGAGAGCCGTGAGAGCCGTGGATAGACGCAGGGTGTGGTCGGACAAGGAGTTCACCTTGGTGTTGAGCTGATCTACCATGGAACGCAGCTGCACGTTCTCGTGGCGGAGACGATCGATCTCCGTCGAATCTACTCGGATCTCAGTCATCCTGTCAGGCTGATCAGACTGGATGAAGGAGACGAACAAGGTGAGACGTTTAACAGTTTTATTATCACTCTGGTCGTATCTCTCTGAAGAAGAAACGATGACTGAGATGAGAAGCCGGTCACGGCGTCTTCCATATATAGCCTTGCTTGGCTGTGACGTGGAGGGAATCCCCGCGAGGAGCACGCTGGGAGCTCCCCACGAGGGGCATGTCGGTAGTTGTGGTCCGAAGGTCAGCCGGGAGATACCCGAGTCCTGACAAACAAAGCCTGATTCATGCTCCTACGTCTGCGTCAGTGCGGAGACATGCACTCAACTCCATTATCCCTCCTTGCGGGCCTGCTGGAGAGCCCCACAAGGAGGGACAAAGTCGAGCTCTCTTTTCTAAACATTTGTCTGTCGAGACGGAGAACGCAAGTTTGTGATTGGTCAGGGCACCGCTGTCGTCTCCACCGCCGCCATTGCGCCCTCAAAAACATAAAGAGAGCCGAGAATAACTAGCGGCAGACACGGAGAAGCTTGCGAAAAAACTCTAAAAATATGAATGTTTAATTCCCCCGTGACTGTAGGAGTGAAAAGATAAGCAGCAAGCATTTTATTTGTGGACGGAAATGACAGGAAACGTGGGTTTAGAGGTGGCGAGCACATGAAGAGGTGGAGGAGAATGAGAGAAAAATTTGTCAGTATTAAAAAGTCTCTTATATACAAAAAACACAATTTAAACACACTACCTTGGACCGGATACATGACAGGATACCACAGAACAGCGCAACACCCTCTGTTGTCCTGGCAGGGAATTGCTTTGCAACACTCCCCAGGAGACAGAGAAGTATGAGAGCAAAACACTTCTGTCAATCCATGCGTGTCTGTCCCTTGCAGAGCTGATGGAGAAGCATGAATCAGGCTTAAGTCCTTGTCCTAGCTCCCTTATCGTTGCTGGAACCCAAGGTCTCAAGCAGAAGACGAGATTTTTACTCTCTGAATAAAGTTTATCGTTAAATATTCTGTTAAATGAACAATTTGTTTAAATCCAAAGTGTTTGATAATGTGTGCTGTACTTTACATTAATGAATGATGAGTTAAAATGAATATTTTTCCTGTAATGATTAATTTTAGATCTTAAATTACACCAGATCGGTAATTAATGATTCTAGTAATTTAATCTATCAGTATGACCAAAATAATATCATAATATTATTATTGATGTTTAACATTTTTGCTCCACATAACTTTTATAACATTTTCACTTCATACCAAGAGTTAACCTTCTAAGTTTTTGAGTGAAGGAGGGGTCTTCTGAGGTACTTTGGTAACATCCTTTAAACTTGTCAAATTCTGATTTGTCTAAATTTGCTACCACTTCAACTTTAAGACAAACTATCAGATTCCATTTAAAGTTGCAGATAACAAAAACTGTTTGTAAGTAGAAACAGTGACTGGTGTTTAGCCCTCTCTGATCCCCTCTAGCAATGCAAGCTCCTGTTTCGGAGGACGTGGCCTGAGGATGAAAGTCATGTTCGCGTTTAAAAGCTAGCTTGTTTTGTAGCATTTCAATTGCAGCTTTGAAGCAAATAAAAGCTCATTAAAATATTTTTTCTTTGCATTTTTAACATTATTGTTTCAAGATATCTGAATTCATCTTTGATCTTGGCCACATGCAAACTAGCCATAAGTTTACCAATCTGGCTGAAACAGAGGACTGGGACCAGGAAACAGGACCACATCAGTCCGGTTCTGGCCTCGCTGCACTGGCTTCCGGTTTGCTATCGCTCACAATTCAGACTCCTCGTCTTTGTTTATAATTTCTTCCAGGGTGGTGGTCCCACCTATCTGGCCACGCTCCTGAACAGACATTCCCCATCACCCGCTCTGTGCTCCTCTGACCAAGGCCTACTCGTTGTTCCTCGTTCTAGGTGTCGTACTCGCGGGGACCGGGCTTTCTCAGTCCTAGCACCGTCACTCTGGAACCAGTTGCCACCCTCAGTTAGGCTGTCCCCATCTCTGCCAGTCTTCAAGAGTCACCTAAAAACCCACCTCCTCCGCTTGGCGTTTCCAGAACATGTTTGAATCTGGCCCTCTTTTATGTTGATTTTATTTCACAGTTTTCATTGGTTCACTCTATCCCTTGTTTTACACATTTGTCTTCTACTAGAATGTTTCACCTTTTTTGTCATTTGTGATCTGTAATTTGAATTGCTTTTATTTTCTGATTTATTCACTTTATTTAACTTTGTACTGTACCATGTTCAGCACCTTGGGCTTCCTGACAGGGTTGCGGAAGGCGCTTTATAAATAAAGCTTTGATTGATTGATTGATTGATTGATTGATTGATTGATTGATTGATTGATTGATTGATGATTGATTGAAACTAATCTGGTTGTCCAAATGAGGTTGTTCAAAAATCTTTCTACATCATAAACGTTACACAGATCTGAAATATCAGTTTTACTGGTTAAAAATACTCAGACCTGCAACAAAAGACATGAAATAAATCACATTTTGTAATTATGTTAAATCATCCCAATCTGACAGAGCAGCAATGAGCAGGCAAATTATTGCAAATAGATTAATTAGTCAAATAACAGGCATTATTTAATTATTATAGATGTGTTGCTAACTTGACTGATTTTGCAAACAGAAGCTCTGAGATGATAACATTCAACAGCTCCCACAACAAAATAAAACAAAAAACAATCCAGCGATGGTAAGCAGAGTGGAAATTAATGAGGCCTGCTAATTTCCCGTGTATTTTTTTTTTCATTTGCCACTTGTCTGCCTTGCCAAAACATTAACACAACCTGCTGACAGATATCGCCAACATGCATGCTTTGGGGCTGTCAGTTCTCCCCATGAGGTGTGAGATTTTCACATCACACGTGATGGAAATTCTGCAGGTGAATTCACATTTTTCTACAGCATGAGGCAAGATCAGTCACTTTCAAGCAAACGTAACACGTTTTTCTACTTCCTTTGACATCTGGAGTAAATGTATATCATAGGACCTGCTGGATATTTGGCCCTCAAACATGCTGAAAACCCCCAATGGAGAAAATGACTTTTAGTCCTAATAAAAAACTGAGTCCATCCAGTGCTGCCTGATGAAT